AAGTACATTAATTATCATATCATATCAGCTCAAATTAATTTTACACATTAAATCTGAGCTATCATATGCTCAGTGTGAATTTACTCGTATTTTAATTATTTGGCATTTTTTGTAATGTAGAGCTAGATTTTTTTTAAATATTGGTTCTTTGAGATGAAACTAAAGAAATATTAACAAATATGAAGCATAAGTAAGTGTCCTTACGTATTATGTTTGTAAATATTAAACTACTTATAAAACTAAATGACACTTAGCTGTTAAACAAAAAGAGTGACAACCCTGCAACAGTAGACATTTTATCTCGCGCGGCGCGGGAGTTATCCTACTATTCTATGCCACAAAAGCATTATTTGCTAGCCAACGTAACAGCATTGCTATAATCATAGAATTCTTGTTTTGATCTTCTACTATTCTATGCCACAGAAGCATCATTTGTTAGCCAACGTGACAGCACTGCTATAAGCATAGAATTATTGTTTTGATCGTAACATCTGTCAGACATAAGTCAAACTTGATAACATTCTGGTGGAAAATTTATGTTGTAAAGCCGATGGTAAACTAAAGTTAATATGAGATTTGCATTTTTTGCAAATTCATCCTCTGTCCAGCCATAACTGAACACACTTTCTTTTGTAAATGTTGTACTGTATACTCGTTTGTCATCCTATAATAAAAAAATCTTGCACAATAGTGTTATTGTAAAATTTCCGTGTAAGTGAAAATTCTTTTACATTTTCTCTTGATTTGCTAAACCCGAAGAAATGCTTATTGGCAAACTTGCATCATTTTAGGTTGTGATCTGCAACATAGCGTATGTTTTTGCTGCAAGCCTCTTCTAAGAGATTCAGATCTTGGACGGCGTCTTTGTGTTTTAATACCTTTAAAATGTTTCAATATTATTGAGTATTGTTTAAATTTGTCTTTCAAATGATGAAAAGCCTCAAGGAATTTGCGTACATCCTGCAATGAAATTTTAGAGCATTTTAACTTTTTGTATTTACGATCACATATCGGCTTAACAGGAAAATGTTACGCTGTGTACGTGAAAAAAATCCTCGTCATTTGGGCTTAAAGTTATTAACAGGAGTCGAATATAACGGGTACAGTGCAATTCCAATCATAAAGTTGCGGAACTAGCAAAATAGTCCTTTAAAACAAAATTTTGGTTCCACTAAACTGCTATAACTGCTATGTAGGATGAAAACAGAAATAAATTGATTAAGGAATATTATGAAAGTAAGATGAAGTAATGAAACTTATGAATGGTTTTATTTTAAATATAAAGTCTGTAAATAAAATTATTTCAATCATCATTATGACTTTTTTGGCCATTAAGGATACAATATTTCTGTTTGTAAAAATTTACCCTATATGTTGTTGTACTACCTAGGTAGCCGATTTCACTCGGGTAAAATTGACTTTTTATAAGAAAACCGGTTATCCAGATGAACTTAAAATGCAAAACTATATCAACTAAACTGTAGCACAATACAAAATTACATCAAAATCGTTAGGGTCGTTTTCGATATACCCGCAATAAATATATAAATGAAGAAATACACAACAATTACTCGTTTAAATTATTAAGATTACCTATATAATGTTGCAATCCTCCCAAAATATTATAATTTAAGATGGACGCAAAGGTTTATACGCATAAATTATTCCCAAAAAAGTGAACAGGTAAAAAGTATCAAAACATAATCATCATAGTATACACACCGTTTTTCTTTAGAACAAATCTTTTTCCAATATGCAGCATTGTCAAAAACTTCAAGATCACATATGTTAATAAAATTATGCCGAGTTTATAACTGTTAGCATGAGAAAACTAAAATAAAATTAGAGCACACTCATGACTGCACACAATAGTCCGCCATACTGAAAGACGTGATGTGATTGGTGACAATGGAATAAATAGTAGACAGTGCTGTTTTCGTAGCAAATTAAAATATTTCACCATTTTCTATTGGACTAAGTGGACATATGGCTAATATAAAAATGATTTATTTTGTCGATGTATTTTGTTCAAGAGCTAAGTCATTTTTTACTTTTTATGAGTATTTTATTATTTTATTTATCATGTTAAACTCTTTAAGCCTCTCAGCATATGACCGAAGTCTTATATTGTTGCCGGTACATAAGCTCAATAAACGCAAAAACTTGGCTTGGATCGATTCAATGCGCTCAGAGTGCACTGCATAATATAGATTCCATATTATTAAACTATATTCTATTACTTCGAACCAGACTGTTATACAACAAAATTAAACTTTGAGGGTTCTTGAAGTGCCTGCTCTGTCTAGTAACGAAACCTAGTACTTGGTTAGATTTTTTGGCTATGAGATCGTAATGTTGGCGAAACTTAAGCTGTTCGTCAAACACGACCCCGAAATCCCTAATAGACGACACACGAGACAGAGTTTGTTGTTCTAAGATGTAATTGTTTGATACCTTCTTTTTTTTTAAGTGTGTAGGTGATGACAAAGCATTTTTTGACATTAAAAAAACATGTTATTTTCTCTGCACCAATTAAACAGGCTGTTAGAGTCTCACAAAAAGTAACGGGCCCTAATGGGATCCTTGTGGAACACCGGACTTAATGAGGATTTCTTCTGATGTGTACCCCTTGACGGTCACGAGCTGACTCCTGTTTTTCAAGTAGGACTCGAGTCAACACAACAGACTGCCATGTATACCATGTGATTCGAGTTTCTTACATAAAATTGCGTGATCCACTTTATCGAATGCTTTTTTAAAGTCGGTATATATGGCATCTACCTGACCACGGTTGTTACAAGCATCGCATGATTAATCCGTGCTGCTTATTTGATATAAGAGGTTTTAAATGAAAATAGAAGTGATCAAATACTACTCATTCAAATAATTTGGATACTGCTGACACAATGCTTATTGGTCTATAATTTTCAAAATTGTCTCGGTCACCAGATTTAAATATGGGGACAACGTTAGCTTTTTTCCAGCGAGAAGGGAACACACCGCTGTTCAGTGATTTATTAAATATTAGCAGAAGCGGGCGATACAGTTCATCTGCGCATACCCGCAGGAATATAATAGGTGGAATGCCGTCAGGGCCGGCTCCCTTGTTGGAGTTAAGATGCCTCAGTTTTGTAAATATTTCGTTATCAGTGAGTACGATTTTAGTGAGAAGACTATTTGGTTCACTACAACAATCGGATACACCCGATCCACGACTATGATCTTCGAATACTGATCAAAAAATTCTGAAAACAGATACCACCAGCAGCCATTGTTTCACCAAATGACATTAAGTCAAAAATACTCTAGCTGTTGCGTCTTTTGCAGTTAATGTAACTCCAAAACGACTTAACGTCTTTTGTCAAACCATTTTCGATATATCTGATGTATTTATTGTAACAACAATATATGAGTTTTTTGCATCTAGAGCAAAGGAGGGAGAATGTATCGTAATCTCGTGGGTTTTTGCATTTTTTGTAGCACGCGTGGTATTTGTTTTTTTCCCGCATACAACGACGCGAGCCGGGAATGAACCATTTGGGATATTTATTTGAGCGTTTCTTAACTGTGGGAGTATAATCGTTAATAATTTCGTAGATCACATCGTAAAATCTAGCCACGGCCTCATCTACATCTGCCCCATAAAGTTGATCTGACCAGTTGGTATAATTGATTCTCTGCTTTACAGTTTCTTAATGGCATTTATAGAAATTAAGACGCTTTGACTCATTGACCTTGAGAGGTTTATAATTAAAGGAATTTGAGTCTTGAAAATCAATCCGTAAGGCAGGGTGATGTTTATCTTGTTTTACGAGTAATAAGGTCTTCTCGGAGTGCCATAGTATCTAACAACAGTTCGCTCTTGTAGTCCATCTCATTGCAGCTAGCAAACATACTGCCATCGCTCGACAGGATCCATGGGACATTGGCTACATTAAAGTCGCCAAATAATGTAAAAGAATTCTGTTCATTTGATTTTAGGATAATTTTTGAAGATTTGAATAGAAGTCTGACAGATAAATTTTATTTAGATAGAGAGACAGATAGCAAACGCATACATTAATTGTCTGACCACTAATATTACTTGGCAATATGCTAATCCAGACATCCTCTAGTTCGCTTACCCAGGAGACCTGTCTGACAGCAGAGTATTTTTTTTAACTGCTACAAGGACACCGCCTCCATCGTCTTTATTATACTTTTTAATACAAGTGGTATCGCGATCTCTACGGAAGACATTGTATTGCTCATCAAACAGTTCCCCATCATATACAGAAGCATCGAAATTTGTTTCAGCTAGACATATCAAATTGTAATTAGAGTTAGAGAGAGAAAGTTTTTATAAAGAAAATCTGTTTTACTTCTAGCTCTATTGAGATTTTGATAATATATATATATATATATATATATATATATATATATATATATATATATATATATATATACATTTTTAAAATATATAAAATGATGACTACTCATAAAACAGGGTTATTAGGCGGCAGCTTTGATAAATAACTATTATCTTTTATAAGTATAGCAGGTGAGTCTTCTTTTTTATGAACGTAGACGCGACCGTATTTTACCCAGACAAATTTGTAGTGGTTAGTTTTAGTCCATTGTCTTGCCGTGGCGTGTACTGTCTTGCATTCAGCTGATAGGTGTTCCGATACGTAGATATTGTATTTTTCGCCAACCAAATCCATGTGGGAACAGTTTAGCGGACACAACTTGTTTGCTTTATTGAATCTTCGCACTGCAGAGATGATAGTGTCGCGCTGAAGTTCCGAGTGCAGCATTGCAATAATATTGCGGGAACGGTCTGACGAAGGGTTCATCTTTGCAACACGGCGGAAAGATTTTATGCCTGACTCAGCAATAGGGCAATTTATGACCTCACACAATTTCTTCAACCCATACAATAAATTTTCCGATCGTTTTTCGGGTACCGATTGAATTTCAATTTTGTAGTTTCTTGAGGATTTGTCTAAGACCTGCAGAGTTTAATTCATTTGGGATAATTCGGGTTGTAGTTCCATCTTTTCATCTTCAAGCTTGCGGACCCTGTCTGAAAACGTCTTATGTTCAGCTTTAACATCCCTTTGCGCCCCCGTAAGAAAATCTGTCGTTACGGTGAACTCGGATTTTAGTTTGGCTATTTGATCACTAACTTCCTTCCTTATTGTTCTGGTTAAAGATGTTTGAAAGCTATCCAGTTTGGTATCCAACTTAAAATCTAGAAGTCTCGAGAATTGGTCCAATGCGATACTCGCAGCGGGAGTACATCCGGATGACGTGGGTTTATTTTCAACTGTGTCCATGAATGGTCGACTAATTTCAACAGTGGTTTCACAAGTCGTGAGGTCTTCGCAGGACATGTTAGATTCATCCATGTTTTCTAGTTGTTACCGAACAGGCATATTGCAGTTGTTTCCCTTTCTCCTAGTTATGTTAATGCAAAGTGGACATATCCAGGACCTTCTCAGTTCGCCCAGGTTAGCCTTGTAATAAGATTGAGTTATGTTCAGGCATATATAATGATAATGTGTCATACACTGTATGCATCGGAGTACTTCCTTGCCGGTAATTCGATTACGACACGCTTCATAATTCATAGTGATAAAAGTTCGCTTCTATAATATATTCGCTTGAACAAAAACGTTTATTCATCATACACATAGATCACTGTTCAAAGATTGTTTTGATGTATGATTTTTATGGTTACGAACATTATTACATTACTTTTTCAACGATAATTTAGGAGCGTAACTAAACTAAACACATCTCTGACTACTCAAAATATTAAGTTTGAATTCAAATTAAACTTAAAACACTCACAAAAAGTCAAATTGTGCAGGTTAGATACGATCCTGTGGCCTCAAATGACCAACTCGAGTGCGTAGCCAACACACCACCGTTACATCTTACTATATCTGCCAAAATAGTAGTTCTATTACAAACATGAGCGTTTTGCATGTGTTTGAAAATTTTTCTTCAACCATCACTTAAATCACAAATATGAATTTTTTAAGTTTCTAAAGTATTTATTGTTTTATATTTCTGTTTTTATTTGTGTCACAGTTTATCAATGGAAATAAGATGTATTTGGTATTATTTTGGGATAAAATAGACCATATCGGTTTTTGTTGTTGTGGGTAGCTCACCGTAAGATTTACAATAATGCAGTCTAATTTGCTTATTATATGTCTTGATAACACTCTCACACACGTATTAAACAGTTTTCTCCACTTTTTTGGTAAATCTAACACGATACAGTTGAATAACTATTTTTAAGCAATTAAATTATGGGAGAACAATGTTCACATGACAGCGGAAATGTTTAGAGACCTATGTTCAGTAGTGGACTTATTAGTGCCTGTAATGATGATGATAATGATGATGATGGTGTTGAATATTATAAACTATTGTTATTTTGTGACACTATTCATATTTTGTTTATCTTAATATGATCACCAGGCATCTTTTAATAGCATAACATGAGAAAATTAATCAAAGCGATCCAACATACGATAACTTAAGACGAAAATTGAGTGAAGCTTACTAGCGACACCCTAATTGCCTATCAATAATTATTAATGATATCAAGTAATCAGCGAAGGCAATAAATGTTTTCTAAATAATTATATACGAGTAATCCGAAGCTCGATTCTTACTAAAGTTATTATTAATTTGCAATTTCAAATCTTGATTCACCACGTGCGTGATGGACGCAGTAGGTAACTTTTTTATCTATAACATGCTGGTGCTTGACTTTTATCGCACCTGATAGTAAGTTGTGATACAGCCGAAGAACTTTCTTTCGGTGATTTTATCAAAAATAGAGAAACATTTTCGTGTGAATTAGGTAAAGAATCTAATAAATATAAATTAGTGATTTTTTACATGGTAGATCTATGAATGGATGCAGCGCGAATGTATTTGAGTTAGCTCCACCGGGGTGGATCGCACTCGCAAAGAATACAGGCATGAAGTAGTAGCATAGTGCTGCTGTGTTATTTATGGTCAGATTAACTCTAAAAAATTATTATTTTTCCATCAGTAATTATAAAGATAGAAGATTTCATCATGGTTGACGGATTGTTGTACGTATTTGAACAAAAAATTATATAGTAAAAAGAATTCATCGTAAGGGTTTCGCAAACAAGAGTGAACAGTAAACCTTTGTTCGGTACATCCTAATCAGTCTAAAAGCGAATATAGATGGCGAAAAATTCAAATCACTACTCACGTTCCGTACCACTTCGGTTAGATACTAAAATTATCATCTCTTTGTTGTTTAAGGACTTTTTTATAAATTTCTTTTTTAAATCCAACAATGAGAAAAAGTAGCTTATTGTGAAACTGGATTTTGTGGTTTTTCAATTTTTATTTCAGTGCAATCTATAATTACTCTAGAGCTATTAGTCTTTCTTCGATACAATACATTTTCATCAATTGTTTCCTTTGGTACCCATACATTTAGATCCCTGAACTTGCAGTAAAGGTAATTAATCCATGTTAAGAATTTTATAAGTGGTAATAAATTGATCAGCACCATCTGATCAACATCGTCCGTGAATTCATGGATACCCTATGTGCCCGAGTGACGTAATCACTGTAAAGATCACCGCCCGCGCTAGCTACCTACACAAAATTTAACATAAAAACACAATAGGTACACATAACCTGTGATGCAACTTTTCCTTCATACTTTCATCCTAGCTTAGGACAGGTAAAAATTGAGGAATTAAGGAAAAATTGAGATTTTATTAAAATATGTTGTTATTTTTCATTGAATTACGTTCTATAAGTGAAACCAAACCACTGGTTTCAAGGACAACGGTGTTTACACTAACACCCTGTATATATATATATATATATATATATATATATATATATATATATATATATATATATATATATATAATTGTTTTTTGTTTAGATGGGGCGTTACATTACATGAAATACATTTCAAATTCAATTCCTTCTTCAAGTAAACAGTCTTGCACAATATTATTCATCATCATCATCATTCATCATTACAGCCCTTCACAAGTCCACTGCTGAACATAGGCCTTCCCCAAGTAATGCCACAAAGCACGGTCCTGAGCCACCTGCATCCATCGACTTCCTGCATATCTTACCAGGTCGTATCTACTCCATCTAGTATGGGGTCGCCCTACACTACGCCTACCGGTACGAGGCTGCCACTCGAGAACCTTTCTTTCCCATCGGTTATCGGTCCTTCGAGCTATATGGCCGTCCCATTGCCACTTCAGCTTACTAATCCGTTGGGCTATGTCGGTCACTCTGGTTTTACTGCGGATATCCTCATTTCTGAGTCTATCACGCAGAGAAACTCCGAGCATAGCCCTCTCCATAGCTCGCTGAGCGACCTTGAGCGTCCTCATACGGCCAGCAGTGAAGGACCACGTCTCAGATCCGTAAGTCATCACTGGCAACACGCACTGGTTGTACAATTTAGTTTTTAGAGATTACACAAAATATTATTATAAAACGGTAATAAATAATAACAAAGCATCTAACTACTAACTGAACTACGGAATTTACGTTTATAAAGAAAATAACCAGAGTGTATTATGCTAATTTCAAGAAAGAGTACTCCATTATATTTTATCTTTGAAGCTAGTGTTACTTAGCGACAGGTAATTAAGCGAGAATAAGAAACTACTTCTTCTGTTTTCATAAGCTACCGTCCATAAGTCTTTATGACCGATTTCTTTAAAAATGTAGGTAATATTCTAATGATAGTAATTATTAATTAAAAAAAACATTTTAATCGGATAACTTAAAAAATAAATGAATATATATCTTTTTAGCCCCGACGCTAAGTATAAGCAAGTCTGAGAAATAATAAAATAGTTAATTTGTAGAACAGTGAGTTGGATTAATTAATTCAGAAACTTCTCAGTAATGAATGAGAAACTTCTCAGTAATGATGTAATGAATGAACTTCTCAGTAATGAACCTTTTCATAGCTTGCTGAGAGACCTCTCGATGTGCCATTTATTTTGGTATCGTAGATATTTCAATCACAATAGCTAGATTTTTTAATGCAGCAGAAAAGAGTTTCGGGGATATATAACGTTACCCTATCTTTCATATTTCCGCACTAAGAAAGTTTTCCTACTTCGGTCCGTCCTCGGATAGCCATCGTAGCCCTACTGTACAAGCATATCAGCACTGTGTTATATCGAAATTCGACTTGGCATAGCTGAAGCTGAAGTAACTGTAGTACCGCAAAAATTAAGCACCGCAATACAAATTGGTATATTGTGCCCTTCCGTTTTCTATGTAATTTTCTGAAGGGTGTGAAAACCGGCTTGTTCGGGAGGTTGAAAGTCGTCAAGTCTGCATATGAGACAATTTATAAGGATCCTCGAAAATAGCACGTATTTATTTATTTATTAATTCTTTTTTGTACACCACAATACAGAAACATCAACATAGTTAAAACTAATTAAAGTATGTACAACAGGCGGTCTTATCACTCTGAAAGTGATTTCTTACAGACAACCTTTGCGTAGAGGAATGATGCAAACAAAAGTTACAAATAGAGGGGCGCATACAAAATAATAATAAAAAAATATAATAATATAATAATACATACAAATAAAAATAAGTGAAAGTTGTATACGAAATATCATATAATAGATTAAATGAAAAGAGTACGAGAAAGGTAAAGTAATTTATCTAATAGCGTTCTAAATAATACGATTTAACTAGACTTTTGAAAGAGTGAAGAGATTTAGCACGACGAATATGAAGAGGTAAGGAGTTCCACAATCGCACAGCGTTTACAGTGAAGGATTTCTTGAAAAAGGAAGAAGAGTGCAAAGGTGCACGTAGGCAGGGCTCAAAAGGAAAATCGATATGTTGTTATTCAAAAGAGCGTTGTCGCCTTTCCTGTAGATTAAGGTCATCGAACTTCAACTTCATGCCTCCGGAGTAGTGCCACGGTGAAGGACAGAGTTAAAAGCTACTGAAGGTTTTCAAGAAGCGGTTTTCCACTCGCTTTAGGAAGCTTATAAATTCTGGCGAAAAAGCGCTAATCTCCCGATTCTAATGGCGAATTAAAATTGAAAAAAAAAAGCAAACAAAAATCATTTAGGAACGACTTTTGTTTGCTTTATAGTCTGAGTAGAAGAATTTTAGACCAATTGGTTCAACGTTCAACATTAACCATTTACCACATAACAGATGTAGTAAAATACACCTCTTCCCAAATTAATTAAAAAAAATATTTTCATTTAAGAAGTGTGTAGAGATCGTTTAATAAAAATTGCTCGCGACTTGCTTATGCTTTTTGGTAGATGGTTGCGCGGAAAAACCATTCGTATTTATTTTATATTTGACGGTAGGTTGCCAAGTC